AGAAACCAAAGAGACACAAGAAGGGAAAGAGACAAGATCCACTCCACATACATTTATGATTTTATGATTTAGGAAGTGCATTTACTCCAATTAATGAAATAAACTTCAGCTCAAGCATTAATGAGCTAACACTAAATAGAACCCAACTTTTAAGCTCAATGCCAAGCAGCCAAAGCCCAACCCGTGAACAACTAAGGCCCCAAACTGAGAACAGCAAGCAACCCAAGGATAAGGACCCAAATGCAAACAAACCCAAGGCTTGCCATGCCCAAGCACTTGCTACCATGATTATTGGATGCCCTCCATCATTGGATAGCTTTAAAAAAAAAACATAAAACACAAATAATATTGTTCACATTACATCAAGACAAAATAAACTAAAAACATGAATGCATCAATTCCCCCTGGTGGGAAAATCTCATCTCCTGATGAGAAAGCTTCCACATTCCTTTTATAAAGATTCGGATGATGCTTTTTCAACTCATTAGCATCCATCCAAGTAGAGTCTGTCAAAGGACGATTCTTCCACTTAGCCAAAAACCTCATGTGTTCGCCATGCCGAGTTTTAGTAACCTTGACATCAATAACATCTTCAACTTGTTCATCATAGCTTAAAGCAGAAGTTGAGAGTGGCAAAGTTTCAATTTTCACATGATCTTCAAAATTTCTTTCATATAAAGAAAGGTCAGAAACATTAAACACAGCAGAAGTGCCGACAGTAGAAGGAAGATCCAAGAGATAAGCATTTGAGACCAATTTTTTTAGAACACGAAAAGGCCCAAATTTTTCCCTGCTTAGTTTTCTAGAAGTACCAACAGGAAATTGTTGGTGGCGAAAGTAAGCCATAATCAAATCTCCCTCTTTGAAATAAACATCCCTTCTATGTTTATCAACATCAGTTTTGTACTTAATATTAGCCATTCGGAGTTTTTCAAGGACTTGCTGTTGGGCAGTTTTGATATGGTCAAAAGTTTCAGAAGCTTCAGCACTAATTTTATTTGGCAAAGGCAAATAATTTCTATCTAAAATGTGAGATATAGGCTGGTCATAAATGATTTCAAATGGAGTTTTACCAGTGGAGCGATTAACAGAATTATTATAAGCAAATTCAGCTTGGGGCAAAATCAAATTCCATTGGAATGGTTTCTCACCTGCTAGGCATCTCAATAAGTTTCCCAAACTTCGATTGACAACTTCCGTTTGCCCATCAGTTTGTGCATGATATGCACTGCTACTAGAAGGTTGTTGTCTTCGGGAACTAGATTAGAGCGGCTAAAACTCAACCCAACAGGAGGCAGATATCTTGTTTTTATTGGAAAGAATCATCCAAGAAGCAAGATCCCCAAAGGGAAAACAAAGGGAAGATCTAGAACCAAGTTTGGGCGGCTGGAGTGTGCCCAAAAGCAGGCTGAGATCTTGTTTTACTTCACCGATTCAACAACAATTGCTCTAATTCCAACAAACTACTATTGCAAAAGGGAAAGAACTACTACGTGGAAGAGATAGGATGCTAGGTAATAGAACTCGATGCTATTTCCCACTATAATAAGAATTATTTTTGGTTCCTAACACCACCGGACCCAAAAACTCTCTGCACCGTCGGCAACGCCAGCATCTTGCCGGCTCTGATACTAAATGACACCGGACAAGAGGGGGCTCGACAACTCCTCGTAAACAATTCGGTGACCATAGCCGAACACAACTCCAAGAACTTTTTGAAAAGAAACCGCCGCCTCAATACACTTCAGGATACATAAATGAAATAATGCTCAACTCAAATCTTATTAATCATCCCCTATTACAAGTACTGACTATATATTTATAGACAAATGTAGCAACATAATAGGCTACAACATATATAAGAAACATTGCACATATGTTGCCATAATTAAGCAGCTCAGCTCCGGCATCACTACCGTTGGTGGAACACTGTCTAAACAACTAGGAGAGGAGGCTCAATGAGAGAAATAATTGATATGATTGTTTATTTTGAGCAATTCAAGGATACTGACAACTCCAAAAATACAAGAGAGAATAAATTAAGGAAATTGGATCGATATTTGAGGCTTTTATATACCACTATTCCTCATTCATGCCACCATTATACTCTGCTCTTTCCGCTAACGTACCTACTACAACCTACAAAGCTACACATAGGAATCCATAACAACTCAACAAACTAGAAATGGACCCTTATTGCACTTTTCCCCGATACCCAGCAGCAGCCCCATTCTACCCTTATGTTACCTGGAAGTCTTTGTTCCTAGTATCGATCTTGGTTCCCTCTTCAGCAACTGTCTTTCCGTCATCTCTATTGTCGCATCCTCGGAGTTCCTGTTATATACATGCAGTTTTTTCTTTTTTCTTTTTTTCGCTGTCCATTTAACGTGTATAACAATGGAATTTTTGTTTCAGAGAAAAGATGGTTGCAACACTTATCTATGCGGGGGCAAATCCAAGCTTAGTTACCGATCCTACTCCAGAAAACCCGGGAGGGTTGACAGCAGCTGATCTTGCATCAAAGGGTGGTCATGACGGATTGGCTGCATACCTTGCTGAAAAGGGCTTAACTGCCCATTTTGAGGCCATGTCTCTTTCTGGAAATGTACCATCATCTGTCTTACGGGTCTCGAAAGATCAAGTCAATCTTGAAGATTTACATTCTGAGATGCTTAGTGAGCAGGAAGTGTGCTTGAAAGAATCATTAGAAGCCTATAGGAATGCAGCTGATGCAGCTGATCGTATACAAGCAGCATTTAGGGAACGCGCTTTAAAGCTACAAACAGAATCAGTTCAACTAGCCAATCCACAGATGGAAGCAAGCCAGATTGTTGCTGCTTTAAGAATCCAGCATGCCTATCGCAATTATAACAGGCGAAGGTTGATGAAGGCTGCTGCCAGAATACAAAGCCATTTTCGCACTTGGCGAATTCGAAAGGATTTCCTTAACATGCGACGGCAAGTAATCAAGATCCAGGTAAATTGTAGGGATATTTTGAAAGTTTCTATACATTGAATTGAACCCGACACCAAACTGAGCAACCATACAAATATAAGCATCAACAGTGAGTGCCTTCATGAACTTTTTGTCGAAATGCACATGATCTAAATTGGTTATACCAATTACCTTATCAATGATGGAGAGTGCATTTGTTGTCTTATCAGGAATGATATGCATGAATAATTCTGACCGGGCATACACCTTGCTCTCGTCATCATCATATGTAGGCTGCTCAAGATCAATAACTCCAACAAATATGTCGTAATCATACGTCATACATAGGATTATCATAGATAGGCAAAGACAACGATTTCGGCCACGGATTTTTAAATCATTCGAATATGGACTTGATCGAGAGTTGGGTGGAAAACAGACGAGGTGGCCCTTCGAACACATCTTCGTAGGTAGAAGATATCTGATTATCTCATATGCCCTGTGCCCTCTTTATCATCATTGGTTCTTAAGGATTTAGTTGGAACGATGGAGCTTGAAGCCATCATGGGAGCATACTTCCCTTGTGGTCGGATACCATCAAAGTCCTCGGACAAGGGGGCTCAAGTCTTTCCTTCGTTCAAGCCTTGACAATCGTTGCTTAAGTCGGACAATTTCTTGTTGAATATCTTTGATTTTTGCTTTTTGAAGTGGTCGCTACAATGCCCATCGAGGTCACATCTTGTTCTGTCCTTCAAGAACCTAGGGTATACTGTTTGAATTCCTGATTGTTGTTTTCCTTTGCCCAGAAGGAACAAGTTGGAGAACCCAAAACAACAGGCAAAAGAGATGTTCCAATCAACCTGTTGGCTGAAAATGGGCTAGAAGGTTGTTGTCTTCAGGAGCTAGATTAGAGCGGCCAAAACACAACCCAACAGGAGGCAGTATCTTGTTTTTATTAGAAAGAATCATCCAAGAAGCAAGATCCCCATAGGGAAAACAAAGGGAAGCAATGGGAAGATCTTGAACCAAGTTTGGGCGGCTGGAATTTGCCCACAAGCAAGCTGAGATCTTTTTTTACTTCACTGAATCAACAACAACTGCTCTAATTCCAACAAACTACTATTGCAAAAGGGAAATAACTACTACGTGGAAGAGATAGGATGCTCGGTAGCAGAACACGATGCTATTTCCCACTATAATAAGAATTATTTTTGGTTCATAACACCACCGGACTCAAAAACTCTCTCTGCACCGTCGGCAACACCAGCATCTTGTCGCCTCTGATACCAAATGACACCGGACAAGAGGAGCCTCGACAACTCCTCGTCAACAATCCGGTGACCATAGTCGAGCTCAACTCCAAGAACTCTTTGGAAAGAAACCACCACCTCAATACACTTCAGGATACATAAATGAAATAAAATTCAACTCAAATCTTATTAATCACCCCTTATTACAAGTACTAACTATATATTTATAGACAAATATAGCAACATAATAGGCTACAACATATATAAGAAACATTTCACATATATTGCCATAATTAAGCAGCTCAGCTCCGGCATCACTACCGTCGGTGGAACATCGTCTAAACAACTAGGAGAGGAGCTCAATGAGAGAATAATTGATATGATTGTTTGTTTTGAGCAATTCAAGGATACTGATAACTCCAAAAATACAAGAGAAGAAATTAAGGAAATTGGATCGATATTTGAGGCTTTTATATACCACTATTCCTCATTCATGCCACCATTATACTCTGCTCTTTCCGCTAACACACCTACTACAACCTACAAAGCTACACATAGGAATCCATAACAACTCAACAAACTAGAAATGGACCCTTATTGCACTTTTCCCCGATACTCAGCAGCAGCCCATTCTACCCTTATGTTACCTGGAAGTCCTTGTTCCTAGTATCGATCTTGGTTCCCTCTTCGGCAACTGTCTTTCCGTCATCTCTATTGTCACATCCTCGGAGTTCCTGTTATATACATGCAGTTTTTTTTTTTTTTTTTTTTTCGTTGTCCATTTAACGTGTATAACAATGGAATTTTTGTTTCAGAGAAAAGATGGTTGCAACACTTATATATGCGGGGGCAAATCCAAGCTTAGTTACCGATCCTACTCCAGAAAACCCGGGAGGGTTGACAGCAGCTGATCTTGCATCAAAGGGTGGTCATGACGGATTGGCTGCATACCTTGCTGAAAAGGGCTTAACTGCCCATTTTGAGGCCATGTCTCTTTCTGGAAATGTACCATCATCTGTCTTACGGGTCTCGAAAGATCAAGTCAATCTTGAAGATCTACATTATGAGATGCTTAGTGAGCAGGAAGTGTGCCTGAAAGAATCATTAGAAGCCTATAGGAATGCAGCTGATGCTGCTGATCGTATACAAGCAGCATTTAGGGAACGCACTTTAAAGCTACAAACAGAATCAGTTCAACTAGCCAATCCACAGATGGAAGCTAGCCAGATTGTTGCTGCTTTAAGAATCCAGCATGCCTATCGCAATTATAACAGGCGAAGGTTGATGAAGGCTGCTGCCAGAATACAAAGCCATTTTCGCACTTGGCGAATTCGAAAGGATTTCCTTAACATGCGACGGCAAGTAATCAAGATCCAGGTAAATTTTAAGGATATTTTGAAAGTTTGTATGCATGGAATTGAGTATTGATCTGCTCTCCGTCACCTGTGAATTCACTTTTAAATGTTATTCTTTCCTGTTGGTCTCCATCAGAAAAATCAAAATATTTTGAAGGCTATGAACATTCAAGCAGAAGTGTTCATTGTATGACCGATATTCTAAATCCAAGCATAAGAAGGGAGTTTATTTTCTTATATAGAAAAGTGTTTTTTTTTTTTTTTTTTTTTTTTTTTTTTTTTGTGTGTGTGTGTGTGAAGAAATGGTTTGTCTTGCTATATCATACGCTTATTAATCCTCATCTTCTTTTCAGGGTTCATTTTCCTGACATCCACCGTTTGATTTTGTTGTTTGTTTTTTCAATTAATAGTCTAGAAATGGACATCACATGATTTCATTCTGGGCGTCTTCTTTAAATATATATATAAATGAAGTTTGAATTAGTTTTTTGTTTTTTTTAAACGGTTTACTTTGCAAGGTTTTATTTAGAAAATCTATCTGTTATAAAGCATGTATGTTTATCTACGTTCTAGTGTCTCAACTGATTCTACTTGCACTTACGTTTAAGGTCAAAGAAAGCTATTTTTTTATGCTTAACAAACATTTATAGTTACTATGAATTTTTTGTTTATTAACTCAAGTATTTGCTTTACAGGCGGCAGTCCGAGGTCACCAAGTAAGGAAGCAATACCGGAAGATTGTTTGGTCAGTTGGGGTGCTTGAGAAAGCAGTCCTTCGTTGGCGATTGAAGAGGAAAGGTTTACGGGGAATGCAGGTTAAAGCCATGGAAGTTGGTAGAGCCAACAATTTAGAGGAATCAACTTCAACAGAGGAGGATTTCTTTAAGATTAGCAGAAAGCACGCTGAAGAAAGGGTGCAAAGATCAGTCGTTCGTGTTCAATCAATGTTTCGCTCTTACCAGGCACAGCAGCAGTACAGAAGATTGAAATTGGCTCAGGAGCAAGCAAAGGTAATGCCTTAAAATGATTGCGTGGAAGCTGATTCTCACAATCATTACTAATCAAGTTTACAACCTTTTTCATTTAAGTTCTTCCCTAAATGTGATCTTAGAGTGAGAGTTATTGGTGTGTTGGGCCCATCTTTGTTATGCAATCTAATGTCACGAATTCACATCATGGATCTCTGCAGTAGTGTTGATTTGGCGCATTTTCTTTTGGGTTATTCAATTTTACAGTCTCACAGAATCATTAGTATAAATAGTTTGCCACCGTTGCTTCCATCTTTTTTCTGTTAATAACCGAAATCCTAAAATTTCTTCTTTTTGGATTATGCAGTTAGAATTCAGTTTGAATGGTGATTCTAAGTTTCTTTGAGCTTCTCAAAATTTCCATGACTGTACGACGATTAGTCTGTTTCATTGGACGATTTGTCTTCAATCAGGCTACTGGATCATCCGTTTGAAGATTTGTCAGGTTGACCACGGTTTGATGCAACTTGTATGATGTGTAATTTCTGTATGTGGGTTTACGAATATAATTGTTTAAGCATGGTAGAGGAGTCCATCTATGAACATTAAAAGCTTGTAAATATATGAAATAGTGTAAATAGGTGTGGGTAGCCAAAAGAAGCCCCATGCTCAAGTTCAGAACTCAAGGCGCATTGTGAAGCAGCAGAACCTCCTGAACCATTGCTCTGTTTATTTTTTTTAACCTATCTAGTATCTTAAACTAAATAAAAGCGATGATAATGCTTTTCCACGTGTTTCTTGTTTGACGTTAAGAAAACTTTGTCCATTGCATGATTAATTGATCTTTGAAATGTGATTTTTGTTGCTGCCCCTCATGAAAACTTGATGGTATACAACTTCGTTTCACTCGCAACACAAATGTGTTGTATAGCTGGAAAATTATTAGGTCCGGACATTGGATGTATCTCCCAGACGTAGAGATGCATCCGGTGTCCAATAAAATATTGACATTTGGAATGTACACGTGTCCACGTAATTTTAAGTCAAGCGCAGGTAAAGTGCAGGTAAAGCGTAGGTAAAGCACAGTCAAAGCGCTGTCAAAAAGCGCAGTCAAAGTGCAGTCCACGTGGCAAATTTTAATTGGATATCCAGATCTAGCTAGAAGTGCGTGTGCGTCTTTTTATTGTACTTCGCAGGCCATTATTACCAAAATGGGGTTAATTTGATAAGGGTAAACATTCAATTGCTTTGGTCGGTCGGTTTATTGGAAAGACTGAGTCTATCAATATGGGTTTTGTCTATCTAAAAATTCCAACTGAGAAGAGTTTGGAACTTAGTTGAACTGAATCAGCAAAACTTTTGCTTAGGTTCTGATTATTAAAATTGATGTTTATAAGATTCGTTTTATGAAATGCTATCTGGCACTAAAATCTATCTACCAGAGTTACAAATTCTGATTGGAACTTAGTTTCTAAGTTTGATTTCGGGTTTTGATGGTTTATTTTAGGCAATTTATGACTGGAAACCAAAGTTGAATTGACCTTAATTATATTAAATCGATTAAGTTCTCTATAAAAATATTAAATTTGTTTACTTATCATTTTCAAATTATTGGGCAGCCTAAGTTTAATAGCTCGTGACCCTGAATGTGCAACTGTCATATAGAATATTCAAAAATGTTGTTTGCTGGGGTCAGATTACTCTCTAATCAAGCTTCATGTAAAGCAGACTTTGGTTTCTTAAAAAAGAAGAAGAAGAAGAATTTGATATCGTTCAATTTGATCTAACAATTCTTTGAATTAGCATAGATTGGTTTTTTATTGGCTTCAAGGCACGTTCAAGGTTTTGAGTAAGTTACTGCATTTGAATTAGCTCATTTGGGCATCAAATGGATTCCTGGTTCAACTAGCCTTGAATGAAATTAAATTGAGGAAGAGGAGGCCGCATCAGTGTGAGTTTTGATGTGTTATTTGGTTGAGCTAATTTAATCCTGAATGATTGTCATTTTTGTATACTTGTATATGGCTTTATAGATATTTAGTAGTTAGCTTGTGGGTCCTGATAGAGGAACTTGCCAACAAATAGGATCTTACTTGCTTCGAACTCGCCCATTGTGATCGATAGGTATTACTTACTCGGGATCATCAAGGAGTTTTCCCTTTACCAAAGGGAGTTGGAGTTCCCTAATTTAACCAGCAATTGAACACTCACTATGACTTGCTACTATCTTTGTCACTCGCTCTCTCTCATAGTGATCGTCCTTATAATGGTATGTCAAGAATAACTATAGAAAAGGGACCATTTATAGGACCCTCAATTATCTCATTGTGATCATTCAACTTGATGGCTCTTCTTTCTAGTAAAAACAAAACTCACTCACCCCCTCACTTCTTAGGTGACTTGAGATCTCTCATGCAAGTTATCGGTAGCATTAAACAGATCTATTAGTTATAGGTATCCTCATCTCAGCATTTGTCCACATACTCCCTCAGTGTACTTGACACTACTAAACTTTTTTATGAGTATTTTTTAGTGTTGTATAGTTTCTCTTTTTTATGTGACCTTTTTATATACCTCAAAATCTTATGAACAATGGGTGATGAGTAGTAATTGGGAATGCCTTTAGTTGCATTTTGGCTAATTCTAGTGGATTTCATATTGGTTGAGTTTCATGGTTTTCTTAAGCTTCTTATAGATTCTATCTTCCTGTCTAATCTACTCTCTGCACTTTATTCTCACATAAGTTCTAGCGCATATGCTCACTAAGTCAGCTTGCTAGTAAAATGGTGTGTCACCCAAGGATATAATTGGATTAAATATCCTCTCAAGTGTAGCGAGCGTGGATTGATGATGCTAACAAGAAGAAAGGCTCTACTATATGAGCAACTTCAACAAGAGCCATTAATAAACATGAAGAATGCTAAGTAGATCACTTGTAATGATTAGGAATGGATAGTAAAGACCATCCAAGATGCCCTAGGCAGGCTCACAAACGACTATGAAGGAGAGCATCCTCAATGATTTTTTTAACTATGCAGTTCATTGTAGAAGGCTTGATAGTTGATCAGTGACTTCCACACCTATCTTAGAGCCCACTCTCACATTGACGAGTAATGATGAGTATAACTCATAGAGTCGAGGACTTGAAAATCTTTTATCCTTTAGGGTAGTCCTTAGACTTAGACATCTTCTTTCTCAATTTAGAAAATGCAATAAAAGTATACCCTTATCACTAATTTCTTCTCTTTTTTATCATTTATATATGAGTGTGTCCTAATTTTTGTAAGCCTATAACTTAGACGTTTTTCATAAAAACACTCAGAAAACTTGCTCTTGAATAAAAAGTATGCTCATGGAACTTACCTTTCCTTGAGATAAAAAATAAAAGGACTTACCCGATCATTGAATGCTTGGGGAACACTCATTAGTGAGTGCAGTAGATAGCAATGGCACCAAGCATGTTAGTGACTTGCCTCGAACCCTAGGCAAGCTCCCAATAAGTTAGGAACAAAAGTTTGCCAGCCCTAAACACTCAACTCTACAATAATGATTGGATGTTAACACGATGATATTCAAGTGCACTTGTTGTTTCAAGTAATTAAATGAGATTTTGCTCCTATGAGTATCGAGATTGTAACTTTATTTAGTTAATTATTATAGCTTTTATTTATCATTTAAATTATCCTACCATACTTTGAAAGTTTGAAGAAGCAAGAAAAAGCGAAAGTTTTTTTTATTTTTTTAGATTTATCTGGTTTTATAATTACATTGAATTTATGATTGATTGAGTGAAAATATGTATATTAGTTAAATCTTCAAAATTTAATTATGAATTAGAGTAGTTCTACTTCCTAGTCTCTATCAAGCTCATAGGAATCCTATTATGTTAATGACTAGCAATATGTCTATTATAATCAATACATGTTACTGTAATAATGTCATCTCCTTAATGATTCAAAAAACTTTAAAAAAATACATAGGCCTACGTTTCAAGTTTTTTTTTTTTCAAATCTCCCTAACTATTCCACTGTCTCCATTGTCAAGATAATTAGTTCATACTAGATTTTAAAATTGCAATGGGCAATATCATAATGAAATGAAGTGTGGGGATAATTTAAATAAGTTTGGAAAAAGTAAAAAATTAGACCTATTATAACATTTCACAATGTACCACAATTAAATCATAAATTCAATAAGAAGATTTAGCCACATAAGTGTATATTGAACAACACAAACAACATCACATTATTTATAATTAAAAACAAAAATGGGTATAGGAGTTAGAAAAAGATAGATCCAGGCATGCAATCTAGTCTAGGAGTCCTTCCATCTCCAAGGACTTCAAATCCCCTTACAAACTCTCTTTATAGGAAATGAGGCTACAATAGCATTATAGTGCTTAGCAAATTGGTGCAGTGACACTCCACCATAATTCTTCTCTTTGGCAACTCCATGGCACTGTGGCTTTGGTATATTGGTGTTACGACATTATAGTGATGGCAATTTGGCACCAAACTATCTATTTCTTATGCAAATCTTCCCATTGTAGCGCTATGGTGCAAATGTTGATGCTACCATGCCAAGTTCTCTATATTTAGTTTAACAAATTACTTGGTGGTAGTTTTATTGTGCATAGATGTTGGCGTTGCGATGCTAAGCACTCTATTTTAGCTATAAAACATCTCCCTATAACATTGCAACACATGAATGTTGGCACTATATTGTTAATCTCTCTATTTTAAAAATAAAAAATTATCTCTTAAGAGCACTGCGAAGTTAGAATGTTACTATGATGGGACTATGTTGCAGCTTTTTAATGCTTTGAATCCTTAGAGAAATGTCTAGATAAAATAATGAAATTAAGTAACTTTTAAGTAGAATGGACACATTAATCCTCATGTTTTTTACTCAATAATTTTGCCAAACTTACTAATGACTTTTTAATTTCCTCAAGTAATTGAAAAGCTCACAGATATCTTATCAAGTTTTGTTTGCTTACTATCTTTCCAATTGAAATACAAAAAATAATAGATTAGTACTAATTGATCTATAAATTGTTTAAAACAAATTTAATATAGCTAATAATATCCTAATTTTTTTATTAATATCTCTACTAAATTGAACTTCTAAGTGCAACTGTGAAATCTAACGAACTTTAACTGGTATTAAATAATTTAGGTTTATAAGAATTTCTAACTTTTATGCTCTTAATAGACATAATCTCAATTTTTTGTATTTAAACATAATTCAATCAATTATACTTAGTGTGAACATTTTAATATTTTTAAAGCAATAATAGAGGGAGAGTAGGTGCAAATTTTTTATTAGCAGTACTTAGCTTCTTCTTTTTTTCTTTTCTTTCTTTTTTTCATCTTTTTCTTTAATTTTTTTCCATTTTTTTTTCTTTCATTTTTAAAATTTTTCTTAACAACATATAAATTTATTTGTTAAGTGTATCTTAATGATTTTAAATACCCATTGGTCCTTCCATTCATTTATTTAGCAAAATTAGATCACTCTAGAATGTATTGATGTTTTATGATTCAAGTAGTACTCACCAAAATTTGTTATAAAAATAAAGTCTTTAACTCTGTATAATATCCATATTAATTAAACTTTATTATAGCTAAGTAGGGGTGTCAATTTCGGGTCACGGGTCGTGTTCGGGTCGAACCCGAAATTGACTCGGGTTCAAACGGGTCGATCCTAACCCGACCCAGGTAGACAAACGGGTCGAAAATCCGAACCCGGACCCGACCCGTCGGGTTGCCGGGTTGACCCAACCCGACCC